CTGACCTTCACACTGACCTCCATACTGACCTTCACACTGACCTCCATACTGACCTTCACACTGACCTTCAGACTGACCTCCATACTGACCTTCACACTGACCTTCACGCTGACTTTCACACTGACCTCCATACTGACCTTCCCACTGACCTCCATACTGACCTTCACACTGACCTTCACACTGACCTCCATACTGACCTTCACACTGACCTTCCCACTGACCTTCACACTGACCTTCATACTGACCTTCATACTGACCTTCACACTGACCTTCACACTGACCTGTAACGCTTTAATAAAAGAAGATGATTGGTCCATTAATCAGACTTAAATGTGGTTAAAAATTCTTAAATGTCAGACACCTGTGGCCCACCTGTGCTCGTCTAACGGTGTCTCTCCTCTGTCTCCTGCAGGGACCATGTGTTCGCCATCAACCTGGATACTTCCTCTGAGCAGATCGTCCCTCAGCAGGTAAGGCAGTCTGCACATCAGTATCAGCTGATATGATGACATGACTGATGTCAGTGGTCAATGTTCTTCTGTTGAGTCTCAGACTAAAAAGCTCCAGACTAATATCGTCCCACTGTCCCAGGGACAATTTAAACATGTTTGGGACAAACAAAGTTGGGACGAAAGGACACTGTAAACTCAGTATCAACACGTCTGTGATGACATCAGCAGGAGGAGAACTAGTTAATGTCAGCTTATAGCAGCTAGTTAACGTTAGCTGTTAGCAGCTAGTAAACGTTAGCTCTTAGCAGCTAGCTAACGTAAACTCTTAGCAGCCAGTGGAGTTAACAGCTAACGGAGGCCAAAGCTGATATTGATATTAGGCAGTAAAAAGTTTGATATACCTGTTGATATTAAGTACACATTTCATAAATAAACAAAAACACACAACACATTGTTGCAGTCAAACACTTGTGACAAAGACGTGTGAGAGAGGCCGATAGTTTTAACAATTATCATTAAAAATGACATTAGTGAACCGGAACTGTCGATTAATTGGTGATTTGATAATTATCAATTATCCCAAACTGCTCTTTCTGCATTACCTTCTGTAAAAAAAAAAAAAAAATTTTCACTTCATCTTGTTTATCAGACAACAGATACACTGATACCGATGTATCTGTGATCAACCAATCAGTCTGTCTGGATCTATCAGAGAGGAAATTAGGATTTGATATATTCAATTAAAAGACTTTTAAAGCAGTTACATTTCATAATGTTTCTCGTGGTATCAGCTCAGAGTTTTGGTGCCTCCCTGGTTGTTACAGCAGAGACTCAGCTGTTGGTTCCAACATGGATCTGTTTGTATTTACTGAACACGATTTCCTGTCTGAATCATCTGCTCTCTAATCTGAGCGTCATCTGTTATTTCCTCGCATCCTGTTCAGATTATTCCTCAGACATTCACACTGTGTTTGATTCCTTCTGATCTGTCATGATTAATACCAACGATGTGAGAGTTAAAATTACACACACTGACCCCCTGCTGCTCATGTTTAAACTGGTCCTGTGTCCAGTTAGTGTCTAACGCTGCTGATTATATTGTAGATAATGTGTG